TGAGAGTTTTGAGTTGATTTTTCTCAGATGAACACTGGTCAATAAAGGGCATCACATTATACCGAGCATTGGGATTTTCGAAGCCAGTAAAATGAGCCTGTACCTCCACCGAGATTCGAAATAAGGATCTTCCAACATCTAACTAAATATGGTAACTACTTACACCACAAAAACACTTAGTAGGTATTACGATAGCTTCTTATAATACTTCTGTTTGTTGGTCGAAATATTTCACCATCTTTATAACTGTTTTGAAAAGTTTTGCAACTTATGACATCACTTTTTAAAAATTATTTTTGTTAAGCCAATGGTAAGACACTTGCATTTTAAGCATTCTTCAGAAATGGCTGAACCCAGTGGTCATTTAGCCATCTCTTCCCAAAGAACATTGCTGAGATGCACAGCACACCACAACATCACACTTTTGTCCACAGTATTGAAGATGAATACGAGTTACTTTTCATTCTATACTTTTTATTCTGAAAAACTAAAAGAAAATCATGGAAGCATAAATTTTTAAGCCAACACAGCTAGGGACAATTACGATGGTAGCGAGGTAATTCATTTGCTAAAAAGTCAGAAGCGATAATAATGCAAAGTACAGAAAATTGAGCGTGAACTTGCAAGTTGAAGCTTCGAAATTTCATTTTTGCTCATATTGCTGCTGTAGCTAGAATTTTGTTTTAAGTAATGATTCCCGTAGATAAATTTATAACAACAAAAATATCAATTTATTATTAAAAGTACATTATTATTTGAATAAAATTAAAAAAGAAACATATATAATTGAAATCTATGTGTCAGTGTAGTACTTTATCATTACTTTTATATAATACATCTGATGCGGACGACAGCAAAGAACTAAAATTTTACAGTTTATGTGCATATCAAATGACATTAGTAAATTTTTTATTAATCGTGTAATTGGTATAAATGTTAACAATATTTATGATAGTATGTTATTAGGAAGTACAGAGTATTTTTAAGTGATTCATGTTACTACTTTGATAAGCTATGCGTTTTTATAACAGGAAAGTAATAATAATATTGTCTTTTGTCTTGCTTATTAGTAACAACTTAATTTGTTAGACATGAATATTTACTTTTCATGCTGTGAAATGAATAATACCCGATTTCAGATATTAAGTATCTTTTGCTGTTGCAGCTCTTTACTTACAAGAAAGTTTTCATAACCATTATAAATTTTCGTAAATGTGTAATTTAAATAACCCTTATTTTTCGTATAGTTTTGAATCCATATTACCTGTAGAGTATTTAAACATGACCTGTAGAGTATTTAAATATCCTTTGAATTGTCTGTCGTAAACCAGTGGTCCCGATTTAATAAATGTAGTAAATAATACAAACATTCAAAACCATGATAAATTTGGCCACAAGAGTATTTTTTAATAAACTGCATGAAACCTTTAGCTTTATATTAGCGCCAGATGTCAGAAAAGCAGTATTTTCTACGTCGCAGTTATTCAAACAAAACAAAATAGTAACTTGATAAAAACACCCCCTGCCTTTATATGATAAATTTTATTCTAGGCATAATTGATTAAAATTTTGGGTGATATGCATATTCTTGAAGACAGACAAATGTGTTATATCTTCGAATCCAGACTTGTTAAACATACATTTTTACGCTCAGGTAAATTAATCTTGATACATTCATTTCAAGTTACCACATATAGAAACGTTTGAATTAGAAACTTTATATTTAATGAAATTCACTTCTTTAAAACTAACTCTTTCTTTCCGATTGAATAACTTAAGTCGTAGAACTTTGACAATTTATTTTCAGAACCAATTGTGCATATTTAAGCGAAATAATTTTGATAGTCTGAAAGCATTATTGATTCATTTCTTAAACTGTTTCCATGTATTTGTATTCAACGTCTTAATTGCCTAGTCTTGTGAACTTTCTGGAATACTTTGTACAACAATTTAATTTCTAAATAATAATAATAATAATAATAATAATAATAATAATAATAATAATAATAATAATAATAACTAATAATGCCAAGGCAAAATTTAAAATTAGGAGGAAAAGCAGTATTAGTTTGGTATGGAATTCGAGTAAATTTATCGATTTTAAAAGTTTGTTAAAAAAAAAACTATGTTAAATCTATTTTACATTATTTTTCTTGATTTTAAGTTTAATTTTTACTCAAAATCAGATGCATGGTAATTTCATGGCATGCTCTGCATCATTTAAATTTTAATTGGGATGTTATGTATATAGAGAACACTGATATTTATACAGTCGTTATTTAATTTAAGCCGTTATTTAATTTTGACTTAAGCCGTTATTTACACATGGGACCTTCATAGAACAGTGAAGCAAGTTACTAAAAATCATTGGTGATATTCAACAGCGGTTAATACGTTAAGCCTTTAAACTTTCAAAACTTAATCTCCTTTTTACAAAATATTCTTCAACAGCAGCAACTTCTTCAACTTAGGTCCACACGGAAGAGCTTTTAATCACAAAGATTTAATATTTGAAATATTTATAAAATTCTAGAGTTTAATAAATTGGCAATAATTGCTTAAATGTTTCTTTTAAGAATAATTGTTGAATTTGTTTTTATATGAAAATTTGCAGCGGAACAAAAATTTTTTTCCGCAAAATTCGGTTCTAAATTCTTCATGCAAGCAACAATAGATTCTCCTATGTCTTATTTTGTTTAGACAGTATAAATATACCCTTAAACAAACTGAAAATTGCAGATATTTAGAGGAGTCATCACTAGAAAGAGCCAAAACAAGTCTTTTAAATGGAATTTATATGAGATTTTTGCCGAAATTTAGAAAAATCGCACAATTTTTTTACTTGATACATATGATTTTAAAATTTCAACATTTTGCTCATATAAAATGTATCGGTTATAAAGTTTTGAAACTTTCAGACCTTATAAAACAACTCTTTGCCCTCTTTTAAAACAAGAAAATGAAAAATATTAATTAAGTGATTTTCCACAATTGTTTTTTAAATTAAAAATGTGCTAGAATATGAAATTAAAGCGGAAGTATAAGCTGTTCAGTTTCAGGGTTATGATATCATGATGTCACACAATTTTCTTTCCTTCCGTATCTAAAAAACAATAGGATTTGATTAGCATTTAAAATTATTCGCAATGAAACATACTGGTCATTTTAACGTTTTTTCATTTTCACAAGATTTTATAGATTTCATTTAATATCTCACCTGAAAAGTTGACTTTTTAAATTTTTTTATAAGCTTTTATATAACTTGCTAAGTGTGTTGCCACAGTAGACAAAACTTTGGCATACATTTTTTATACATTTTTCTGGCAAGCTGTAGATCTCAAACTTTATATACGCACTCATTGTGGATGATAATACAATGAGACGCAGCGGTTTGGTTTATTTAATTATGGCAAAGCCTCGAAGGCTATCTGCCTAAAGGGAGGGATGCCTTCGTGGAGGAGGATTTTCTAAGGGAAACCTGGTTCCTATACACTTTACACAGTTCGGAAACCAAAACGCCCATGCAGCCAGCCCGTTCGTGGGATTCGAACCTCGGACCGAACTAGCAGTGTTCAGCGATTTTACCACTCGGCCGCTGGTGACCCGAGATGCAGCGGAATTTTTAAAATATGATTCAGACATTTTAAAATTTAAAACTGAAAAGACTTTTCGCTCATATATTTTTTTCTTGAGCAAACTAAAATCCTTACACCATTGGATGCAGCGGTCAAATCTTCTAAAATTTTGACAAAATCATTAAATTTTTTTCCTATCATTTAACGTAACAGAATTATCGGAAGTAAAAAATATGATTATTACCGTTTCAACAAAAGGAGTTTTAATAATTTGATTCACAATGTGTCGTTGAAATTGAAAAAGAGGTAAATAAATAAAAGCTCTTATAAAATACGTTTTAGTTTAAAATTCATAAAATAATTAGGGAACTAAAAGTGGAAAAATAATTTATTACATAATTTAATATGAACAAGGAATTAAATCATTTTTTTTACAAAATTCATTTACATTTTTATATCACCACTAATTACAGTTTTATAATCACCGTGGCGCCTATAAATAACGAAATTTAATAATCACATTATGTTGTCAAAAATATGAGCCATTATTTTCATAAATTTAACAAGGGTGTCTCATATTTTTATTATTCGTGATATAAAATTGTAGACGAATTTTGTATAGATAATTATTTCATCTCCTGTTCCCCCTAAACATTATGATAAATCATTTTTCCTTTATTTCCTGAATAATTTTATAAATTTTAAATCAAAGCTTATTTGACAGAAGACTTTTTAATTTTTTAATTCCTCATACAGCTTAATATTTGCATCAAATATAATTAACAAGAAATAAATTAATTCTTCTTTCTTATACAGGATATAAGCAATTATGCAAATAAAATTAATAAATTAAAATTTATATCAAACTATCAATACCCTCAGAACTCTAAGCATTTTATTTCGCTCAGCCAGTATATTATTAAATTATATGACTTTAAATGCATTGAAGCTCATAAATATTTAAATTTGAAAACACATTAACAATGATATCTGCTTAAAAATTCATGAACGTTAAATTGTGCATGATTTTAAAATAGTTTGAAACTTTGTATCGTATAAAAAAATCTGTTACGTATGTGTGTCGCTATTAACATACTACCATATTTACAGAGGAATTAACATTATGCATCTTTTCAATGCCACTTCACTTGAACGAATTTACGGTATTCGCAATTTGAGCGACCATTGCGCAAAATAAGACAACAGGACGTTTTTTCTTTTGTGTTTTAATCATTTTAAGACTTAACAAATGAAGCAAATCTTTGTTATTTACTTTCCTAAGGTCACTTTCACTCGAGATGCGAAGATAAAGACTGCGAGAATCTACTACAGAGAATTTTTCAGGAACAAATTCTTGCAAAAATTTTCTACATGAATTGAGATGCTGACCCAGAAATCACGTTTTCAATTTCCGACGGAACTGAATGATTAAGCCACGTTTCGTATAAATAGACGATAGAATGGCAGACCCTTCATTCGTCGTTTCAGCTTTCAGACGAGTGTTCAGTTCCAATTCAAAATGTTTTCCAAGGTATGTATCCATATTGCCTGATTTCAGTGAATTATTTCTGAAGAGGTTTAAAAGAAAGAATTTAGAGTTACAAACTGAAGTCTTATATTAGAAGAAAATATCAAATTATTTAATATGAAGACATGTGTAGAGTGCATAGCAGTCACTTTCCCTTAGACAGCCTTTGAAGAAGGCAATCCTGTTCTTAGGCAGATAGCTCTTATGTGATTTGCTAAATGTAAGCAACCTAACCTAACCTAACGTAATAGGCAGATGATTTTGAAAATGAGTTAGTGAAAGAAAGACAACTTAAATGTTATGTATGTTAACTAGTATGTTCCATACTAGGATGCTGGATAACTCCGTCCTATCTAGGTGAAGTTGATTAAAACTTTTACTTAGGATTTTATGTATAATCTAGGACTATAATACAGGATCTAGAATTATATTTAGAAAAGAAAAAAATTCCCGGAATTCTTCCTTCGAGGTTTTACTTTTTTGAAATGTCGTATTCATAATCAGAGTTTAGTCAACTTGATGTTTATAAACTACTACAATTATGGTCTTAAAGTTTTATCTAGTGTGTAGCACTTATTAATGAACGTTAACTTAAAATAAAATGCAAATGCAATTGCAATCTAGGAAAATAGTAACTTAAAAAAAATGCAATTGCAATCTAGCAAAATAGTAACTTAAAATAAAATGCAACTGCAATCTAGCAAAATAGTAACTTAAAATAAAATGCAATTGCAATCTAGCAAAATAAAATAATAAATGCAAAATAGTAACTTAAAATAAAATGCAATTGCAATCTAGCAAAATGGTAACTTAAAATAAAATGCAATTGCAATCTAGCAAAATAGTAACTTAAAATAAAATGCAATTGTAATCTAGGAATTCGCTGGAAAATAACTGGCGTAACGTCTGTACAAATTTTCTGATGCAAAAGTTTTATTTTTCATCAGGTGTGAAATGAAATTTGAGAAAATAATTAAATGAAGTGTTTTCAAAGAGCTTATATAAGTATGAGATATAGGAACGTTTCAAATAATTATTTCGTAGAGAAACTACTTTTTATTATATTAATGAGTTACGTAATGGAGCTCATCTGTGTATCGTAGCACGTTCCTGATCAGAAAAAATGAAAGTAGGTAGGATTGCAATCGTTGACCAACTTTTCTTTCTGATGCTGAGATAGAAGAAATTCCCTAATTTTTTTTTTTTTTTTTGAATTTTAGTTGCTTCATCTAGAGAGTAAGCTACAAAGAACTTTTTATCTGTGAGAAAGTTGAATTTACTTTCACACACATCCTTTAGTTCATAGAGAAAAAGGATCAGTAACGTGAATTTTATTCACATTAAATTTCTAAAGATCATTGGATAACTACTTAACATTTATTTTCATTGCTATAATTTCAATTTTCAGTGAGCGTCTTCAGTAAGCTTATGCAAAAAGCGGCAGTCATTCAATCAAAATACGCATTCAACTTTCAATAAGTTTTTATAATTAAAATTGAATCTTTATATTACATGTACATGTATATATGTTAAAGTAAATAGAGCAACACATGTAGCATGTATTTATGTATATAATTAAAGAATATAATATATGTATTACATTTTATAGATTCTTCTTGCTGCCGTTGCAGTTCTGGTTGTTGTAGAAGCCAGTGTGATTCCCGTAAGTAAAACATTTAATTCGCATTCTATTTTGTTTCTACATACTATACATTTTGAGCTATTACTTTAATATCTTACATTTAAGTGTTCAGAAAGATTAGTTATAATTTTAAGTCTCTTTAGCGATGCATTTATAAGGTCAAAAATTACTCACTAAACTTCTAAGGCACAGACAGTTTCTGATTATAATCTATTTATTTACTTGTATTACTATTATTATCATTATTGAAAGTCTGATCATAAACCAAAAGGTTAGTAACTTGCCTGAGTAAATGTGGGATCGAATGATATTTTATAGGCCGGTGGTTGAAACAACCATCCTTTATTAATAAGGGAGGGTGAAATAAAAATTAAAGAAAGATAAAAGACTTAAAAAGGATAAAAAAGAACAAACTGGAAAGAAAGAGAGAGAGAGAGACAGATGGAGGAAAAATGAGAAAGAAAATTTTGAAAGCTTTTTTCACAAAATTTAACAGGGAATCTCTTGGCATTTTCGTTTATCATTGAATATAAGGAAAGCAAAGATTATGCATATATTAGCAATATTAGGAAAAAGACAAAGGAAAGGACTCTTATTAAATTGGAGTCGTTTCCTTTGTCTTTTTCCTTGTTTCTTTTGAGTTTCCTAAGGCAAGAAGCTTGCATAAAATATTTTTTCATTTTAATGCAAATTACATCATAATTGACTTATTTATTTGACTTTCGGCTGCTTGTTAAAGTATATTAGTAACATTTCAACACTTCAATCTGCAACTGATATAGATATTTTAATGAGCATTTACATATACTTTTATTTTTCTTAGATAGCATCAGTGCATAATTTAACAAATATAATTTTTTGTAACACTTGTATCTGAACTGCATAATTCCCATCTGATAGTATTTTAATTAAAAATTTAATAAAAAATTTAAAAACTAGACTGACTATTTTATAAGCTTTATAAAGTTCTGATTGGCATTTACATATACTTTTATTTTTCTAGATAGCATCGTGCATAATTTAACAAATGTAATGTTTGTAACACTTGTATTTGAACTGCATAATTCCCATTGATAGTATTATTAATTAAACATTTCAAAACTTTCAAAAATCTGCAACTGATATAGATAGCTTTATAAAGTTCTGATTGGCATTTACATATACTTTTATTTTTCTTAGATAGCATCAGTGCATAATTTAACAAATGTAATGTTTTGTAACACTTGTATTTGAACTGCATAATTCCCATCTGATAGCATTTTAATTAAAAATTTAATAAAAAATTTAAAAAATAGACTGACTATTTTATAAGCTTTATAAACTTCTGATTGGCATTTTAGAGATTCTTAATACTGTGAAAGTTCTTGATATAACGTATATTGATAAACTTTTCTTTACATTTCAAGCAAACGCTTGAACAAACTAAATATTTCTTTACACCTAATTTTTGTTTGTATAATGTGCTTCCATAAAGCGAATTTTACAGTAACTATTTAATTGCAGTAACTGTTTAATTTTACGGTTTTTTTGATTTTCAGAATCAAAAAATATTTCTTAACAAAATCTTACTTTTAATCGAGAGCTCTCTAGCAGAGAAAACCGAATTAAAATTTTGCAGAAAATTAATGTGTCAAAAATAAACAGAATGTTAGTTGACTCAACAAAAATACAGAAATGACATGATTTGTAATAACCGAAATCTATAAGATTCACAGTTTAATTTCATTTTCGCTCTTCAGCTATGGGAAACTGTAACTTTGCTTCTCTAACAGAGAAAACAAAAAACGAAGGATATAATAAGATACAGTACTTTAATTTGATTTGATATCGTTTTGCTTCGGTTCGGAGAATAAAACTAGATTAATGAAATTATTTTGAAGTAGGATAAATAGGATTCAACAGTAGATTAATACGCTTCTAAGCGCCTTGATAATGTGATAACTAATAACTAAATTGAGGAAACGAAGATTTGTTTCATATTTGTATGAGATAATTTAAAACATAAAGTTTCCAGGAAATGCAAATTTAATATGCATAATATTAAAATAAAAGAAATAAATTTATTTAATGTAGGTATGAAATTAATTCCTGTTTTCCTGATTATAAATTATATTAAAAAAAAGGCATAACTAAAGAAAGGCTATAGAAATTTTCAAACTTTAATCAACCATAAATATACTATTCCAGGTTCATCAACCATTGCATTATCCAGTTCATCATGCTCCTCAACCATACAAATTTGGATACATCATCAAAGATCATCACGGTGAACAGCATAGAGAAGAAGTTGGTGATGGTGTCAGCGGAGTGAAGGGAAGCTATGGATTCACTGATGACAGAGGTATCCATAGACAAGTTAACTACGTTGCTGACCATGCTGGTTTCAGAGCTCAAGTTAAGACTAACGAGCCCGGCACTGCTAACCAGAACCCCGCCGCTGTGCAAGTTATATCCTCCGCTCCCTATGCCGGACACGTTGCTCCAGTAGTTGCCCCAATCGTCGTGAAATCTCCCGTCGTTGTAGAAACTCCCGTCTACGCAGCACAAGCTGTTCCAGTTGTCAAAGGATATGGACATGGATTTTAAATAATAATATCTTGTAGGTGCTGGAGGATTATGGAATAAAATATGAAACGTCTCTTGCATTTGTTAAGAGTTTTTGTTTTGAAATACATTTAAAATCTTGCTTGCTTGCTGAAAATAAATAAGAACAGTGTTTAGGAAAAAAGGATTTCTAATATCCAATAGACACATTCAAAAGTGATTATTTATCGTCGAAAATTTCCAAACAGATTTAGGCTAAAATAATTTTTATTTGTATCACAAGTCTTGAAGCTTTTTATTTTTCATCCAATTGTTATATTCCAAAGAAACCAAAATTCAATGCACTAGTTACTATTTCTAGTTATTATCTAAGTTATTGATCACATAATCAAACTATTCAAGTTTTAAGGCATTTCTCCTGTCTCCTTGGCATGCCTTCGTGGTGTGGTGATCTGCACTCTCAGCGTGTAATTGAGAGGTCCGCGGTTCGATTCCCGGCGAAAGTGCTGCATATTTTTCATCTTGCCTGCTTCCAAAAAAATACCTAATGTCTCTACAAAGTAATCAAACTGTCTTTAATGCTTAGCCACTAGCTCAGTTACTCATCGCAAGAATACCAAAAGTGCTATTTACTTCTTCTACATGAAACATACATGTTGTTGCTTTTAGGAAGAAAAACTATCTCGGTACAATTTCAACGCCATATAAAACTTTTGTTTTCTTTTTGGAAGAGCTTATTCCCCTTTCTGAAATCTGTAACTGATAAAATTATTTTATCATCTTTCCATGTGAAGAATCAAATCCAAATAATAACTTCAAAGACTTAACAAAAGACATAGCTTTAGCAGTTTCAAGCATGTTGGCATTAATTTTGACATGCTTCATCTTTCATTAGGGTACTGATAATTTTTATTTTAAATCGGTAAATTAAAGTAGTTGGTTATAAAACAATTATATTAAAGATATGGAAAAAAGAGTTTATATTCTTATTCTACAAACTCATTATTGCATAAAGAAAAATGTAGTCCCAATTATTTTTTGTTTCGATAATTTAATGACATGACATGGTAATAGTGAACAACAGAAATTTTGTTATATAGAAATATTTTGGTGATTCTTATTCATTTTACAGTCTTAATTTTAGTTGCGATGTTAGAAGCATTCTATTTGGTTACAATTTTTTTTTTTTGCCAAACTAGCGTAGTACCCGACACTGACCGGGGTTTGACCGGGGTTTATGCAGAGCGAAGACGCTTCGTTTAAAGAAATGGAGGTACTTTTTCCCGAAATCCCGTTTTCGAAGTAAACCGTGAAAAGCTGATAGAAAGAGCATTTAAATTCTACTCTAAAGGTTCTACACTACTCTAAAGAGATAACTAATCCGAATTCATCTACGGTTTTAGTAAGAACTGACACTTGCTTCGTTATTGGTTACGTCATTTTTAAGAAAATCACCATCCTCTTTGGCTGACTTCTTCACCGTTTTCAAAATATTCTCGAAAACTGATAAACAGAGTATTTACATTCTGAGTTAAAGTTCTGCACGCTTCTCGAAAATTCTACACTTTTCTCAAGAGTAAACGCTGCCGCCATCTAAAGGTGTAGAAAGAATTGATTGCTAGAATGAAAAGGCGACGTGAACCTAATATGGGTTATATGTATGCAAGATGAGTGTCGTGAGTGCACCGTTCTAATATAAACGTCCTGTTTGAACCCAGTGGGGTATGTTTTCGAAATCTTATGCAGATAGTTACTTTCCTTTTGTTTTGAAAGTCAACTGAACTAAATCTCATCATAATCGTAATAAAACTTTAGATTTGTTTTGAATTACACGCCCACAAACAGACATTCTTCATTAAAGAGATAGAGAGATGATCTTAATGAATCCCTTTCACTCGTCCAGACAGTAATAATTATTGAAATGAATACGCGCTTACTTCTCTTAAGTTGCTCAATTTATTAATTAGTAACTGAATGCGTTTGAAAAAAAAAGAAATATTTTACGCTTTGCAACGTTTAAAAAACAGCAACGCTTAAAAATATTTAAATTTGGTCGTCAGCAATACATTTCGTTTATATCGCTATTTTTGTTACGAAAGAAAACAAATATATTGCATTTATTCGAATGGCAACATATTTCTTTTATATTGAAAAGTTTTCTGATTAGTTTTAAAACTTAAATACTGACCAAGCCTCACGGACTGGAGGAAATTGCGTTCGCCAAAGTCCTCATCGCCTTTCTTCTTGCTTAAAAGCAAGATTGCTAAAACTTAAATATATCGAGGCTTGTGAGGAGTGGTAACACAAAGATTTTAAATCCCTGAATTTTTAATCAAAAGTTCGTTAAATTAACGAAAACGTATGTAAATAAAGAGTGAAAACCCCGTGGGATGTGGAGAAATTCTTATGTAGATAGAGACCCTCTTCTTGCTTAAAACGTGAAGTGCGCGAAATTTCATCAAGATCGGAATAAAACTGTAGATTTGCATGAAAGACAAACGCATGGACGCTTTTCTTTATTCATACAGACTCATACGGTTCACACTTTTATTTTACGAAAGAAGTCGGCTAGGCTTCTTTATCAAGTCCGATATAACCTGTCCTAACTTCTTCAAATGATCATACACGAGAATTTAATTGATCAAAACGTCAAGCTGGTATTTAAATTTTAATTAAGGCTAAGATTTTAATTAATTAAATCTTCAGACTGAAGATTAAAGAGATGAAGAAAAGAACAAAATTCATAACTATGCAGGTTTCGGCAAAGGCTATAAAAGCCGATTGAACGCCCTCCTGGAAGAATGACAATGTACAGGACTCAACCTCGCAAATAAAGCTTAAGTAAATAAATAAATAAATAAAAACATAGTTTGCATCATATAGTAGAGAAACAACGAATGAAATATAACTTCACACACGTAAATATCTTTTATTTAATGGTAACCAGAATTTTATTTCCATTCACTTTCCTCCACATATATTTTTAGAAATTCTTCCATTTTTTTTCAAACGTTCTTCGTATCTTTTGTGACAAGTTCTTTCTATGACTACTTTTACCAATTTTAATTTAGGTTACTATATATAGTAGTTTTGATTAGATCTGTTTATTGCCTGTTTTATCTTTAGTTGGCCTTTCACAGTTCCTGGTTTAAGGGAATTTGTGGATTTTGTTTTTATATATTTGACCAGAAAGAAAATCCTTTCTATGCTACCCGAAGAGTGAGTTAAAGTAGTAGTTAGTCTTGGTTTTCAAACCTACTTTTACTGTCACCAAGTGGTGCTGAGTTTAATTAGAGCCGCGCAACGGCCTTCCAAATGCATATGTTTTTTTCCTGAGATGTATGATTTATTGCATTGCTTGCGCCAATTTTAACTACTTTGTACGAAGTAATGACTTCATGTTTGATGAAAAAAACTAAGAATACTTTTATTCTCAGTTGATACTACTGAAAGAAGTAAGAGCAATCTAAAATCCTAAGATTAAAATTCAATATTTAGATAGTTCATTTTATCCAGTACGTATCCTAAAAACAGGAACATATGCTTTGTTCATTTGATGATCACAGCATTGCTAATATTCCATCCACCATCCATTTTGTTCATTTTGGATTGAGACTGAAAAGATAGGAACTAACGTTGTTTAATAATAATTTTTAGTGCTTTGTCATGGTATGCTAAATAGCAGCCGAATGGTAAAATCGTTGAGCACCGGTAGTTCCATTTAGGTTTAATTCCAGGTACAGAAAAAAATAGAAGGAGACGCCTTTTTTCCATCGCGGTTGACGCAGCTTTCGAGCATTTGAAATTCTAAGGAGATGTGGCACTTTTGTTTACATCCAGCGCAGGTTACTTTGACAGTTTATTTGGAACTAAAAATCGTCCCACGCACGTGCATGAAACATTTGTACCTCACGTACGTGTGAAATAGAAGAAAAATTACTTTATATGTCTGTTATCTTTTAGCTTAAAATGTAGGAACAAACTGGAAGAAAGTTGAGCAAAAACTAAATACAAGGAAACCGAAAACGAAACTTAAAGGAACGAAAAACTGTGTTACTAATCCAAGCTAACTTTTGTCACGTGAATCTTTTACCAAATTTAAGAAGTTTTTAAAAATAATAAGGAAGAAAATACACGAAATACATTCATGTAATTGAAGAAACTTTATAGCTGTCCTTTAAACACACTTATAAAATGAAAATAACTATTCAGATGGAACTTGCATTATCAATAAAACAAAAATCATAGTTGTAATATTTTTTATACATTTAAGAACAAGTTTATTGAAATTTGTGAAGAGGTAGAAATGCTTGAGAGTTTCTTTCCTTTAAATAAATGCCTATATTTAAACGATATTTAGTGTCACGAAATTCATACGTATTTTCAAAAATTTGGAATAAATAACATGTAATACGATATTTTCAATGAAATTGAAATGTACTAAACGTTTTACATAAAATACCACATTCTCAAACTTACAGAATAATGTGAAATTTTAGCAGGTAATTAAGTCCTAAAGTAAGAAATGGAACCTTTTATTTCTTGGATAAAAATTTTTATTTTTTTTTCAGAAAAAACTTGATTTGAAATTAATAGACGATTAATATTACAACGGGGGGGAAGGGAGAACGGCGATTGATTTTCAGAAATAAAACAGATCATCTGCGATTGTTTGAGAAGAAAGCATTGCATTCGTCAATGTTTATGTAAAGTGGTTTAATGGGTTAAATAATTAAAATTCACCAGAATGGCATTAACTGAGAACTGCCCCCATGAAGAGAAAAAATGGTTTGATTATATGAATTTAGTAAAACACACGAGGATTGTCCGTTTAAGAGGAGGGATGTCTTTGTGGGGTACTTTCAAAGGGAAACTGATTCGCATTCATGTTACGCATAGCGAACATAAATACGAATTAGTATCCCTTTGAAAGAATCAGTATCCCCAAAGCAGTATCTCTTTGAAAGAATCAGTATCCCTTTAAAAATCACGAAAATCAAGCATGCAGCAAACCCATTTGCCCGCGTTCGAATCCGAGATGAACTGCCAGCATTCATCAGTTCTTTAATTGCTCGGCCACTGTCGAGGTTAAGTCAAGGAA